ACGTGTTCCTCCAGCCAAGAGAGCAGCAAGTCCAATACAGTAAGCAGATGGAGACAGGCGGATGAGGGAACACAGTCACACTGTATCCCTGCCCCTGGTATCTCAGCAAACACTGGGAAAGTTACACTCACACCAGATATGCAGCATGAACCAACTGTCTGAGAGCAATGTGTAAATAACATCAAATACAAAAAGAAGTGAACAATGTTTTAGAGTGTCTGTCAGCCTCAATATTGCTGGGCATCACTGTGACTGCATCTGTAGTCAATACTATTGTATTCTCCTGGGTACCTGTTATTCCGAATATAAACCACCCCGAACCGCTTGATTAGTTTCCAGTCTGTAACTCACTCCCAGTATCTGTTATTCTATATATAAACCACCCCAAATCCCTTGATTAGATTCCAGTCTGTAACTCCCTCCTGGGTATCTGTTATTCTATATATAAACCACCCCAAATCCCTTGATTAGATTCCAGTCTGTAACTCCCTCCCGGGTATCTGTTATTCGATATATAAACCACCCCAAATCCCTTGATTAGATTCCAGCCTGCAACTCCCTCCCGGGTATCTGTTATTCTGTATATAAACCACCCCAAATCCCTTGATTTGATTAGATTCAGGCTGTAACTCACTCCCAATTACATCATTCCTGCCATCCGAGGAATCAGCCCGGTAAACCTTTACTACACTCCCTCCGTAGCCAGAACATCCTTCCTCAGATAAGGAGACGCCAAAACAGCACACACAGTATCACAGGTGTGGTCTCACCCTGTACAATTGCAGCAGGACATACCTGTTCCTGTAGTCGAATCCTCTCGCTATGAAGGCCAACATCCCGTTCGCTTTCTTCACTTCCCGCTGCTCCTGCAATGCTTGCTTTCAGCGACTGGTGTAGGAGGGACACCCAGGTCAACTTTATACTACCCTCTTTCCCGATCCTCAGGCATTCCGATAGTCTGCCTTCCTGGTTTTGATCCTTATGTGGGAAACTCATGTTGACCCACATTAAACTGCATCTGCTGTGCATTTTCTCACTGTCCAGATCACACTGAAACATTTCTGCATCCTCCCCACAGCTCACTCTAACCCACCCGGATTTGTGTTTGAATACCAGGGCAGGTGTAGGCCTTTTTGGCTTTTCTAGCCCCATCTGGCCATTCAATAGGATGGCGGCTGATCATCCAACTCACTTGCTTGGTCCATGTTTTCTGTCAAGTACTATATATCTGACGCCTTCTTGAAAGTCACATACAATTTCGCTCTCTCTCCATCCCCTTTATCACAGACTGATTGTCTTGGCTATTCACCCTATCTACACCCCTCATGATTTTATAAACCTCTATAAGGTCACTGCTCAACCTTCTACATGCCAGTGAAAAAAATCCCAGCCTCTCCTCATAACTCAAACCCTCCGTACCTGGCAACATCCTGGTAAATCTCTCCTGAACCATCTCCAGCTTTAATAAAGTCCTTCCTGTAACTGGGTGACCAGAACTGGACACAGTGCTCCAGAAGCGGCCTCACCAATGTCCTGTACAACTTCAACATGGCGTCCTTACTCCTATACTCAAGATCTGAGTGATGAAGGCAAATGTGCCAAACGCCTTCTTAACCACATCATCTAAATGTGATGCAAACTTCAAAGAATTATGTACTTGAACCCTTAGGCATCTCTGCGCTAAACTGTAGCTGCCTCCTCTCTGCTCACTCCACTGAGCAGTCTATATCCTCTTCACTGTTTCCTCGCCCCTTTTTACACTCGACTGAGATTTGCAAGAGCCAGGTGATTAAACCTACCACATCTACACCCTGGAAGGACCGGGGTTAGCAGATGCAGAGTGTTGGGTAGCACTAACTCTTGCAAGTTCCCCTCTGAGAACCCGCCAACACACACACACACAAACACACACACACTTTCTCTCTCACACACACACACAGACACACACACACACTCTCTCTCTCACACACACTCTTTCACAGACACACACACTCTCTCACACACACATACACACACACACACACACTCTCTCACACACACACAGACACACACACACACTCTCTCTCACACGCACAAAGACACACACACACACACACTCTCTCACACACGCATACAGACACACACACACTCTCTCTCACACACACACATACACACACACTCTCTCTCTCTCACACACACACATACACACACACACACAGACACACACACACACACTCTCTCTCTCTCACACACACACACAGACACACTCTCTCTCTCTCTCACACACACATAACACACACACTCTCTCTCACACACACACACTCTCTCTCTCTCACACACACACAGACACAGACACACACATGCAGATACCATCCCGACTTGGAACGACAATGGCCAATCTTTCAGTGTCACTAGGGTCAAAATCCTGGAACTCCCTCCCTCAGGGCACTTCGGGAAGTGGGGGTGGGCGTGGGGGTTGCGCTGTCCTGACACCATAGATGGAGACAGTGGGGAACTGCAGTGGCTCAAGGAGACAGCTCACTCCCTCCCACCTTCTCCAGGGGACAGTTATGGATGGTTGATAATTACTGGGCCCAGCCAGTAGTGCCTTCATCCCAAGAATGAATTTTAAAAAATAAAGTCTTTGTCATGGTAGGGTACAGGAATTGAAATACCAATACCCAAGGAAATTCCACCTCAAATCACCCACTGTCCAGCAATAAATCCATTAACCATTACTTCTTGGTTTCCTTTCAATTCTATCTTTGTGTCCCATATATATGTAAAATCAAATCAAAAATATATAATTTTTTAAAAGTTTGTATTATATTTAAAATATATTTATAATGCTTGCACAAGTCAGAACATTGAGTAAAGGAGTTGGGTGGTGATGTTGTGGCCACTCTTGGAATACTGTGTTCCATTCACGTCTCCTTTCTATAAGAAGGATATTGTGAAACTTGGTGCAGAAAAGATTTATAATAGTGCATTCAGTTCTGATCTCGCTGCTGTAGGAAAGATGTTGTGAAACTTGAAAGAGTTCAGAAAAGATTTACAAGGATGCCGGAGGGTTTGAGTGATAGGGAGAAGCTGGATAGGCTGGGGCTATTTTCCCTGGAGCATCGGAGGCTGAGGGGTGACCTTATAGAGGTTTATTAAAAAGATGACGGGCATGGATAGGGTGAATAGCCAAGGCCTTCCCCCCCGGGTAGGGCACTAGGAGTCCAAAACTAGACGGCGTAGGTTTAAGGTGAGAGGGGAATGATTTAAAAAGGACCTGGGGGGTAACTTTTTCACGTAGAGGGTGCATGTATGGAATGAGCTGCCAGAGGAGGTTGTGGGGGTGGGTATAATTATGACATTTAAGGGGCATCTGGATGGGTATATGAATAGGAAGCATTTAAAGAGTTATGGGCCAAATGCTGCCAAATGGGACTGGATTAATTTAGTATATCTGGGTCGGCATGGATGAGTTGGTCTGTTCCCGCGCTGTATGACTCTACGACTTCAAACACCCAGGAAGGTCTTCGATGCAGACCAAGAGAACAGACTTGGAGACCCTCAGCCAAGTGAAAACGAGCAGTGAACAGTGTTTGTTTTGAAGCTGTGAGCTGGCACTCTCGCAAGAGGCAGGTTAATCCCAAGCGAACATTAGCTTCTTCCCCTGGATTTACCCCACTGAAGCCTCCCACTCTCCTGGCATACCACTAACTGGGTCTGGCCTGCATCCAAATTCAGGCGGTCATCAGGAAGGCCAGCTTTTGTTACAAAGGGAATGGAACATAAAAGTTGGGGGTTTTCTGCTAAAACGAGGCACTAGTCAGACCACAGCTGGGATACGGTGAACAGATTTTGGGCCCCGTATCTAAGGAAATATAGAAAGGGCATCAGAGGCAGTGCAGAGCAGGTTCGCTTGACTGAGTACAGACTGGGTACAGAGGGACTGACTGATGAGGGAGAGGTTGAGTGCATTGGGCCTGTACATATTAGAGTTTAGAAGAATGAGACGGGATCTTATTGAAGATTCTTAGGGGGACTTGACGGGGGCAGATGTGGAGAGAGGTTTGTTTCCTCTTGTGTAGGACCAGAGGGCACATTCTCAGACTAAGCTGGTCACCCACTGAAGACAGGGGCGAGATGGAATTTCTTCCCTCCGAGGGGAGTGAATGGGTGGTGTGGTGGGGTAAAAAGGCAGGGTAGTGGAGCTGAGGATGATCAGATCAGCGAATGGCAGAGCAGTCAATTTAAGGGGCATCTGGATGGGTATATGAATAGGAAGCATTTAAAGAGTTATGGGCCAAATGCTGCCAAATGGGACTGGATTAATTTAGTATATCTGGGTCGGAATGGATGAGTTGGTCTGTTCCCGTGCCGACTCCTGGTCCTACAACTTACAGTTAGTAGTCTGTCTCACTCAGCCTTGGATATATTCCAGACCCTGCCGCTGTGCTTTGAAGGAAGAGAGTATCACACACTCGCGACCCTCATATAACACATCCCTCCCATGGCACCCTCTGAAATGGGAGACACCCACCCCCTCCCCCCTCCCAAACTGAAACTGCGCCCTCATTCCCCCCTCCTCAT